TCTCTCTCTCTCTCTCCCCACACGCGCGCACCCAAGAATTAATCCCGTATCGATAACGAATGCGCGCGTGTGTATATGCTCATCTTTCCAGAAAACGTTCGGATGTTCCGCAAAAAATCCGTCCGCAATTCGGCGTTTTTCAACTTCATTTTTTTTTAAATACCAAATACGACAAGGCTGCTGACATTAGGCTTGCTAGCACTTTGTAAATAATGCCCAGCGATTGTGCTATTTTGTTTAAGTTTCTCTTTAACTATTACTTCATGAATAATCATTATCACATTTTTTCTTTTTTTTTTTTCTTTAATTAATCGTCTTCACAGATCGTCGAGGAGAGGGGGAGGCGTGCGACACATCGTCGGCGCCGCGCCAAGTTGGCTCAATCTATGAACACTTCTGTAAAAAATATAATATCTATGGATGGTTGAGCCCTTGGCCAGCATACGCAAGCGAACCGAGTTAAGTTGCCTCTCTCGCAGAGGGGAAGGGCAAACTGGAAGGGTGGGATCACTTCTGCATGGAGTGAGCAATGTGATTACATAGTAACGCATATATCTAACACATGTACTCTCTGCATAGAATAATATGTGTCGCTCAACTTCGCTACTCTCTAAAACTTTTAGAATGAATCCCACTCTGAAAAGTGAAATCTCATTCTTAGATCCAGTTTCACCAAACGTAATCAACTTTAATTTCGGTCCAACTTATCCTTTGTCTAATTCTAGAGTTCATAGAATTAAAGATAAATAGTAAGTTAAACCGAGAGTGTGAAGTTAATCTTATATTAGCGAAGTCTGAGCTTTTTCAAGACTGGCTCAATTTTTACTCTTTCGAGTGAGATTTCACTCCAAAGAATTTAAAGAGTACATTAAAGAAACATCTTTCATCGGGACGCCATGACGAAACAAGGAATCCCGCGAGTCTAAAAATGTTAAAAAAAATGCAACTTATTTAAGGGGGGAAGAGTTACAATCAACAATGCGATTCTCAATCTCCCGATTTGATTGTACAAATATTCCTATTTATCAAGCTTGCAGAAGTGATATTCGCCCAAAGTCTTCGTTCGTTCGTTCCTTCGTTCTTTCTATCCATTACTGTGTAATATGCCAAGCTCCCTCTCTCTCTCCCTCTGAGAAATGAAATAAACGGTCAATGGAAATCAAATCTGAGAACATGACGACAATTTTGAATTTTGACACGCTCGTGTTATCCTTATATTACCATCAATATAAGTTTAACGACTTAAAACCAACGCAAAAACAACAGATATACAATGCACAAGCACATTGTAATAATAAAAAGACAAATGAGACTTAACGTAAAAACATGACTCACATTCAAATGTTTATAATAGCCTCAACAGTTTCACCAGGGGAAAAACACAAACGAAACATACATATAATATAGTAAAACTAGTAACTACTTCACTACTCTAAGACAGCGAGAAAATCCTAAGACATGCGATATCAACGAAATATCGTTTCTCTTTTTTCTCTTTTTTTTGCGTGTTTTTCCAAAGTGCTTTCCAAAATTTATTCTCAGAAGTTGCGCCGAGTGCGTGCAGTTTCTAAAGATTTTTTCCTCTTTTATCTTCTTTTTTTCTTTCTAAATCTCAAGTTTTATAACTTCTGCGCGTTTTTGCTGTGAATGTCTTGTGATTTTTACGCTTTTTGTTAACAATTAATTCAATATCGTCTCTCCTGCTATGTTTTTACTGATTTCCTTCTTCCTTCCATCGTTCTTATGTAGCCGGAGAATATTTCAAAATAAAGCAGAGGAATGTTCTGCTTTTCAACTTTTACGTGTAATTCACAATTTTCAATCCTGGAGCCGTTAAGTTCGCTATTCGATCCAACATTACAATACAATATTACGCTATTACGACACATAATTTCCATTAAGCTCGTATGTGCCATCGTTACTTCGACGTTGTTCCTCGTCGCATTCACACTCGTGAAATACTGATTTTCTCGATGGATCTCGTCTTTCAACTCCACAGATCAAAATTGATCTCTCAGACAACAGTTAAAGATTAAAATCATTATTAACTAGAATTATCAATTACACGACCATTAGTATGTCTTATACAGTAATAAATTACCATCGTGCTATTTTTACTTCACCGTCGACATACGTTGTCATTTTTTTTTTATTACTAGATGTTACGATGTTATCTTTAGCTTAACTTAATAACGAGTATTAGTGGCATCTGCTTTTGTTTCGAAGAAGAAGTCGAGTAAATTTATTTTTCTTTTTTTTTACCTTTTACCTTAATCGTTAATGCTGTATGAAACTCCAGGATCTCGTCCAAAGTCCCAGAGCCGTCTTCATCATGTTCTTAATGATGCCGTTTTTTCTTGAAACCTGCAACGTAAATTCTCAATTTTAGCATCCTGTTTAGAGACACAGTTTGCATGGAGACTAACGCACAGAAGATCTCTTACTCTTTTTAGCCTTGCCCTTCCTCTGAGCTTTTCTCTTCTTGGCGGTCTTGGTGGATGACTCCCCAAAAGTAGTGATCTCATCGCCGAGAGTGCCCAGAGTCGTCATCTGGCGACGTCTGTGCTTCTCTTGCTTGGTGACGGGCAAACGCGTCATGTAATTCTCCTCGTACTCGATCTTCCGCTTGTCCTCACGCACCAGAATCGCTCGCTTCTCGCTCAGACCCTGACTGTCTTCCACAGGCGCATCCAGATATTCCTCCTTCAGTTCCCGCAGCACTGTATTCGACACGGCGCGTCTACGAGCTCTCTCGCCGGCCTTGCGGATCTTTTCCGCCATTGTTTCGTCGCCATCTGGAGAAATTAAAAGATTCAAGAATCAACGTGCAAATAAGAAAGGAAATTATTATTAACAATTATTAACAAATTATTAACAAATTATTAACAATTTATAAGTTGCTTAACAAGCAACTTATTGGATGCTTAGATTGTCAACATGTTCCCTGCTATCCCATACTGGCCTTTCAGGCATTTAATTATTTTAACTATAAAAAGAAATATAGAATAATTTTTTATACATGAATTTATTATACATGAATACATAATGATGCCTCCAATAATAGTGCCTCCAGCTTCTTTCTTTTTAATCTTGTAATTTTTTTTAATCGTTAGTGAAGTACACGTTATTCAATAAATACAACAAATTATGGGAACTTTCTAGCAAGGAACATAAACTGAATACAGTTCTTTCCAAAAACAAATTTAAGATTAGTCCAGAAACGAAATGAACTGTGTAAAATTATATGGCCATCATATAGAAAATGTTAACAAATTAAATATTGTTTCTATGTGATATATAAAGTTAAAAATTTTCTCATAATCCAGAACTGACCATAATGCACCGCAGCGAGTTTTGGCGGTACATAAACGTTAGATTTCCTGGACTGTTGCGTTGATTTGACATTGTCATCTTCCTCCTGATCACTATCAGAGTCCTCGCTGTCGAGCTTGGCGACCAGTGCGTCAGGATTTGCCCTGAAATTACTGGGATCGTCACTATTGATGGTACCAGTCACCGCTGTCTTGACGAGTTTATCTATTTGGTATTTAAGCTTGTGATCTATTGGTCGGATTTTCTCTAGGACAGTCCTAATCTCGATCATACGGTCGATCGATGGGTCACCCTCAATGCGCTCGCCAGAACATTTTCTCAAGACGACATAGGTCAGGTTGATGAGATATGAGAGCAACATGTGATACTTCATCTCCAGGAAGCTGAGGCCTTTGTCCGTTGACATCTCGCCGTTCTTCACTCGCATCAGCATGTTGTCCACGACCTGGTTCACCTGGAGGACGTTGGCATTCATCTCTCCCAGCAAGCGGAATGCCTGTGGGAGGTCCCTCTGCTCCATCTCATCGATAGCCTACGAAAGCAAACAGGTTGTCAGAAAATAATTGAAGACATTTTTTAGCAAGAGACACAAGATGACACAGTGTGAATGCTTTCCATTTAGTGACACACAGACATATCGTTTTATTTTTCTTGACATTCAACGAGTAATAAAGACAGAATAATATTAGCGTCAACTTGTGTTATCAAGCATGAAAGCATTCATAGTAAATCATTATATCCTTGTTTGCCAATGTTAGACAAGTCCATACAACACAGACTTTCAGAGGAAGTCTTAAAGACATCCACAGGACATTCTAAAAATATTCCTATGTTTCCTGAACATCCTAAAGACGCATTTTATATTCTCTGAATGTCCAAAGACATTCAGATTCTCCACAGACCTTCAAGATCTAACAGATATTCAGAAGATTCTCTAATGTTCTATGGATGTTTCCAGGATGTTCATATTTGGATAAAAGACATCCAAGTGGGACTCTATATCCTAAGTCTAAACATCCTAAGAAGAGGTTTCTGTCTTTTGAACAGTTTTATAAATACATTCTTCAAACATCCTAAGAGCATTCTTATATCTTCTGAATTTCCTAGGGACGTTGCCAGGACGAATAAAATATGCTCTTAAATAAAATATACGTTGTGACAAGATAAAATAATTCTTGGTGGAAACCAAAAGCACCCTAAAAAAAATAGGAATAATAATCTTACGATCATCGCCGCTACTGACTGCGACTCCCGATGCGATCGCGAAAGAATCGGAGCGCGTTACGTCGTTTATTTACGTATCGCGGACACTTTCCCGCGCGATGGCGAGGTTAAGCGGAGGCACGAAACCGCCGGAACGTTCTCCTGGCGAAACGCCCACGCGAGCGGCGAGTCTCGCGCGGAACGCGGCGATTCCGTGCGGGCAATGCGTACGTCCCGGCGATCGCGAGCTTTCATTCAAAAAGAAAGGAAGGTAAGAGAAAACGGTGGCCGCGCGGCGTGTCCCATGCGTGGAAACGCGCTCGGCGGGCGATTTCGATGGTAATTACGTCGCGAAACTCGCCCCGGGCTGCTGCGGTGACCCGGGAAAAATGTCCGCCCGGGACCGAAGGCACGGGGGAAAAAAGCGCAATAATCTGCTGCCATCTTTCCTATTTACTAATGGATGACAGCGGAGGGAAAAAAAAACAATCAAAAATTCCCGACGGCGACACGGGCAGAAAAACGCGATGAATATCGCGCGGTTTGGCCGCATCGTGCGAAGATAACGCGCGGACGACACGCCACTCACCTGCACCATCCTTCCGCGTGAAAAATCAGCCGGACAGACGCATATCCAAACAACGTAACTTGTAATTAAACGAGTCCCCACGTGGGACGATATTTTCCTTTTCGGGGGGGTATATTTTTTCGGCACAGGAAAAGTCTGGTCAGCCGAGCGACTGTCACGAGTGTCCCTAGGATGCGCGATGATGGATCTTCGGCGAGTTTTTTCCGCTCGATTGTTGCCGCAGGATTTTTCCGCCTCCGCGACACGGTGAACGTCGGCGTTCGTCGCGCGAGAGAATTGTTTTCCGAGTCTCAACGAGGCGGCACTTCCGGTTATATGACGAAAGGTAGAAGCGGCGCCATCTTCGAAACGCGATCGCGCATTCTTGGGACGAAAATATGATTGTCAATTTGATGGTTACGGATCGACTGAAACTTTGCGATTTGCGATGGACACGACGAGACTGTGGAAATCCTTGATTATCTCTGTGCTTCTGTCGTCGTATTCGGACGACTTCCTGTCTAGAGTTGTTTTTTTCTTTTTTCTTTCCTTTTCTCTTTTTTGCCTTTTTCTTTCTCCCGGTGCTGAACGACGCGTCATCTCGTCATTCTCGTCGAGATGGCGCAGATGTTTGTAATATTGGCACTTCTGTTGATTTCATTTCTACCAACTGTATTTTATTAAGCCATTGGCAGTGAGAAACTTGAATTGTTATTGGTGAATTTGTGACCTTTTTATCGTTTTGACTCGATTGGCCCGATAGACACAAAACTCTCATTTTTTCTTTTTAAAGACGAGAAAAATGGTGAGAAATCGAGTTTTATGTTTAATTTCTGAAAATTTCAAAAATTTTTGCATATTTGAATGAACTTGCTCTTTTGTGATATTCATCTTATTTTAAAATCCATAATTGACTTCATTATTAATTAAGATGCAAATTACAAAATAAGCAAATTTATTAGATATTGAAATTATAAATATTATAATTAAATAAAATTAGGTTTGTTCGACTTGTTTACATTTTTTACACTAATAGCCTCTTTGTTTTCTCTCTTTTCAGCGCCAAATATATATCTATCTCTCTTTTTACGTGTAACAGATCAATTATGAATATCCTAATAATAAATTTACTCGCTTTTGTAAATATCATCTCGTTTCTTAAGGTCTGTAGATCAATTGTGAATTTTGAAATGAGGTGAAAATTACAAAAGTGAGTAAAGGTTACTAAGTATTGACCAATTAAATTATAAATATTCTAGTGAATTTGCTCACTTTTGTTCTTTTTATTTTATTTCAAAATACATAATTGATCCTCCGTTCGAAGGCTGCGTTCGGATTTCCATCTGGGTGCTCTTTGGATGTCACATCATCCTAACGTTCGGTTGTTTAACATTCGGTAAACAACAAGAATAATATGATATCCGAGAAGCATATCGACTGAGAAATGATCGATTGTGAAATGAGGTAAAAATTACAAAAGTTACAAATTCACTAGATATGGATTATGAATATTTTAATGAATTTGCTCATTTTTGTAATTTTCACATAATTTCGAAGTATACAATTGATGATTTTTTGTTCGCATTTCTTGAAATTCCCAAAAATTTTTGCACTTAAAATTAATTATATA